ATTTGTTTTCCTAGCAGTCCATGGTACATGGTATTCTCAGTACTCTTCTCCAGCACCACAGCTCAAAGGCATCAATTCTCCTTCTATCCTCCTTGGTCACTGTCCAACTCTCTGATGCATAACAGGTGATTGCGAATTCCTACATCAAATATACACACACAAATATCAAACACACACACATACCCACATCTGCACTACCATCAAGACACAGTTGTCATTGCAGCACGCAGGAGCAATGATTTTGTAAATTACTACCTAACATGGGAGGGACTAGAGAGCATTATGCTGAGTGAACTAACTCAGTCCCACAAGGATAAATACTGCATAAAACCATTATTGTAGGATGAGTATAAGGATCCAAGAGGGGTGGGAGAGGCTGGAAGCAGAGGGATGTTGATGTGCAGGGGGTAAGAGGATTAATTATGGGGTTGTGCAATTTGTTGCGTTGAGGGGGTGAGGGAAATTGAAAGAATTAGTTCTTAGAGACAATGTAATCAAATTTTGTAAATAAACAAGTAGAAAATGAAAAAAAAAAAAGAAAGAAAGAGTTGCCTGGTGTGGCGCTCATCCTCTGGCCCCAGGCCCCAATGGGCAGAAGCTCCTTGACACCGGGGAAGACTAGGGCACATGGAGGTCTCCCAGCAAGGCTGGGCCTGAGATGCTGAAGGAGACAGACTTTCCTCTGGAGCCAACAGAGAAAGACTTTCCCTACAGCTGGCAGTGAACTTGAACTCCTGAACTGTGAGAGAATACATTTCCATTAAAACTATCCACTCGTGGTATGTCTTCTCAAGTTATTGTTGTTGTTAGGTGCCGTTCAGTCATAGACGACTCATAGTGACCCTATAAACACTGAGCACTGTTCATAGGGTTTCCGGAGGCAAGTCATTTCAGAAGTGGATGCCGCTCCTGCTTCCAAGCTTGTTTTAATCGGGGAGCTTCACCAAACACTGTCCACCGTGGGTAACTGTTAACACATTTGACACATCAGTGTCACAGTGTTCAGCTTCACAGCGACCACGAGTTACCTCTCTACAGCAAGTGGACACACCAGGGCTAGAAAACCTAGAAGAATGACAAGAAAAAAATCTGAACCAGGCCTGAGGGCTTTCTCTATTACCGGTATCTAACTAAAGGCGGCTCCTAGTGGGTAAGAAGTCATGTTTCCAACCCAAATCTACCAGCTGTGTCGCAAGAGAGAGGTGGGCAGACTGCCCTCACGGCTGACAGCCTCCAAAATCCTGCTGGATAGTCAGTTAGGCCTTGGTTCTGATTCGGAAGCAATGAGAGAGAGTTAACTAAGATACTGGCCTTAACCCATTTTTTCAAGAGCATGATTTGAGATACAAGTCACGTACCAGACTAGTTGTCCTTAGAAGCGCACACTCCAGTGGTTTTCAGTACAGGCAGGGCCACTGGCCCTTAAAGGAAACCCCCACCCCATTACTCCCCTTCACTCCCCACATCTCTCACTTCCCGGCCCCTGGTAACCACTCAGACATCTGCTATCTCCGTGGATTTGCTGACTGCAGTTTTTCCACGTAAATGGTATCACTCGGTGTCATCTTCCGGTCTGGCCTCCTTCTCTCTGTATTTCTTGCCAAGGCTCGTCCTGACATCCACGTTATCTGTCACTTCTCTCTGGGGCAGAGCAATGTCTCATTGTAGGAAGAGAGAGTGGCTGCAGTGCATGGAGGGTGTAATCAGCAGTGTTGGTAGGTGAGGTCAGGCCAGTCTGACCCACCGCGACCCTAAGAAGATCAGATCTGAGCCCCATCCTGTCCTGAGTCGTCCTCACACCTCCTGACACACTAGTGTCCGCTGCAGCGGTCCCTGTGTCAATCAACCTGGCGGACCCTCCCTCTCCAAGGAATAGCCTGTCCTAGCAACATGCCTGAAGGGAGACGAAGCTTTACTTCAGCATTTCTGAACTGTATCAGCATTACTGAATTGTCTATGTAGAAACGATTGAGATGGTGTATGTCCAAAGCATAGTTTCCCCACTACGAGATGTTTAAAACATAAATGGTACACAGGGATGGTCAATAGCCATTCATCATTGATGATGTGGGTTTTTCCTACTTTAGGGCTGTTGTGAACAATTGCATAAACACCCCTCAATTGCACTGCACCCCAACACTAGGAGACTTCCTAGGCTGTGGCCTAGAACACCTTCGATCTCTCAAGAGATACAAGCAAAGTAAGCTGAGAGAGGGGACCTTGACTACATCGAGGAAGAGTCACCAGGAGGGGAGTGTGTTCGGTCCCTGTGCTGGGAAAGCCAGAGCACATGAAAATCTCCAAGGAGTCCCACACCTACAGATCTGAGGAGACCAGGGCTTCCCTCGTGAACTGGAGGAGACAGTGCCTTCTGCTAGAGCTGGTACTTCCTGAGCTGTGAGAGAATGAGTGAGTTTGTAAAAGACATCTACTCGACGTGTCTCCATCACAGTGGCACAGAGAACAAGTGTAAAAGGCAAGAAGAAAACATTTTCCCCGACAGCCTTTGAAGGAACCAGTTCTGCTGACACCTCCCGTTTAGTCTCCTAAAACACACTTTCAGGTGAGCTCTGGTGGCCTAATGGCAAGAAGCTGAACTGCAATCCCAGAGGTGAGCAATTCAAATCCACCAGATGCTCTACTGGAGAAGGCGGGACAATCTCCTCCTGTACCAGCCAGACCTGATTTGATGGTACACACACACAAAAATAATAAAATTTTTTAAAAAAAGTATGATCATTGTAGTGGAAGAGGGCTGAGGAGTCCCAACAATTCCCACAGCCAGGGGAACAGAGCCCATCTTCACCTCCTCTTTTCTGACCTCAACCTCTGTGTGCTCCACAGGAGGCTTTTAAGGAAAAAGAAGAGATTGAGCTGATTACCAAGTAAGACTGGAACTCCTCCACCAGGAGATTTATAACAGGAATCGGCAAAGGAAAGGCTCTGATAAGTCCTACAAAGAAGGATCCAGTTTCAGGTACCAGTCTAGCCTTCCTCACAGCTCACTGACCGGAAACCTTGCCTTCTTTGAGATCTCTATTTCTTTGAGATATGCATGAAATCCAGTATGCGTGGTGTTAGAGGAGGGTCAGCATTTGGGACAGAGGATCAGCATTTCAGGCTCTGCAGGCCAAGTGGTCTTTTATCAGCGCATCTCAGGCAGGTGGGCAGGTATCACCTGGGCCAAGTGCTGATGCAGCAAATCCACAAGGAGATGAGATGCTGCATTTCCTGCTGGAGTGATGTCAGCCCAGCTGACGGGGGAAGCACCCTCCGGGGCAATCAGGTCTTTCACAGTCTGAGAGGACCGCACCAAAAGGGGAAGAGGGGGCAGCTTGGGATTTGGGTCAGCCAGCTGGCTGGACTTCCAAGCGCTGGCTGCAGAGTGGAGGCACAGCCGACGTGCTGCCCGGGGCACGAGCTGAGGCCTGGGGCACCGGTGGGCTGGGGCAGGGGCAGGACTTACCATCCAGAGTCTCGACCGAGAGCTGCAGGCCCAGGTTGTGCCGTGGGTTGACCACCCAGTGGTTGCTGGTGGCTGTGATGTCGAACACCAGCCACCCCTCTTCTGAGGCCCAGAGGGTACGGCTGTCGAGCAGGAAGAGGTCGGACTCCCTGCAGAGAGGAGAGACATGGGCTTCAGGTCAGGCGATCATCACACTACCAGCCCCTGACAGTGAGGGGCCCTGGTGTGGTGATGGAGACATGAGGAGGTCCATTGAAAAGCACACAGTTCACCACACTCAGATCCGAGCCTGAGGACCCCTCAGAAGAGAGGTGGAAGGAGCGATTCGTGAGGGTCTGGGCGCTGCTGAAAGGCAAGCCCCCAGTCACCCCAAAGAGCCGGGTGGAGGAAGGCAAGAATCACACAACCTAAAAAAAAGAACCACACAGCCTCCGTGCTGCCGGCCCCACGCTGTTCTCAGGGACGCATCCCCTGTGTGTTAGGCATGGTCAATATTGACAAATGCGGCCCACACGACATCTTTCATTCTCGTCACCCAAGGTGTGAGGACAGGGCCATCTCTGTTAAACACATGAGAAAACTATGAACTGCCCAAGGTTGTCTCACCAGGAAGTGGCCAGCCTGAGCTTAGATGTGACTGAACACCAGTCCGGACACTCTCATCAGGGGCACCCGTCGAAGAAAGAACTCGAACTGACAAGACCAGCCATTGGCCATGGGAGGGTGGGATCTTTAATTCTGAATGTCAAGACCATTCTTTTCCAATTTTATTTTATACTGATTTACTTACAGAGTTCTAATACATTGTTTTTCACACAAGATCTTTCCCATTTCCTTCACACACATCAAATTATGCAACCCTATGATTAACAACCCCCCCTTGCTGCCGGTCCTCTCCCCTCTGCTTTTCCACACCCCCCCCTTGGATCCTTATACTCATTCTACAATAACGGTTTTATACAGTATTTGTCCTTATGGGACTGAGTTAGTGCACTCAGCATAATGCTCTCCAGTCCCTCTCAAGTTAGGTAATAATTTACAAAATCATTGCTCCTGTATGCTGAATAGTATTTCACAGTGTGAAGGAACCACAACTTCTCAATTCGATCGTTTGTGGTTGGACATCTGGGCTGTTTCATGTTCTTGTGATGGCGAATAATGATGCTATGAACATTGGTGTACAAGTCTCTGAGCCTCAGTTCTCATTTTCACAGGGTATATAAAGAGACTGCCAAATACAGTCAGAAATGCACAATCTGAAAAGGATAAAATTGATGAGTAGGACCTTCGGAAGACTAAATCCCTGTGCGTACCAAAAAACTTTCCCAACAGGGTGAAAATAAATCCTACTGACAGGGAACCAACGTTTGGCAGTACCATCTCAGACAAGAGTCTCATAACAAAGGTTTACAGAATACTCCTGGGCCTCCACAAGAAAAAGACTAATAACCCAATTACAAAATGGGCAAAAGATATGGAAAGAATTTTCACAGAGGAAGATATTCAAATGGCCAACAGACACATGGAGAAATGCTCCAAATCACTGGCAATAAGAGAGATGCAAATTAAAGCCACAATGAAATGCCATCTCCTCTAACAATGGCAAAGAGTAAAGGACAGCAAATAATACCTGTCGGAGAAGTTGTGACGAGAAAGGAAGTTTTATATGTTGTTGTTGGGGTTGTAAAATGGTGCAACCACTCTGGAAGGCAGTTTGACGTTTCCTCAAAAAGCTGAACATAGAAATTCCACCTGGCCCAGCTATTCCATTGCTCAAACCATTGTCTGAACTATGTATATGGTTATGACAGAGGGGATTCTGGTGGTACCGTGGTTAAGACATTTGGTTGCCAACCTAAAGGTTGTTGATTCAAATCTACCAGTTGCTCCAAAGGAGAAAATGAGGCAGTCTTAGTTCTGGAAAGATATACAGCCTTGGAAACCCAGTCAAGTGATACCACTCTCGGTATCACAGGGTCAGTATGAGCTCACGCTGGCAGTGGGTGGACTGCAACAGAAACACCAGAAGGGAGGGCCTTTCACAAACAGAAAATTGTTTTTCAGTCTGTTGTTAGGTGCTGTTGAGTTGACAATGACTCACAGTGACGGGTGAACAGATCTGGGCCTTGCCCTGTCCTGAGGCACTGCCACAATCCCTGTCACACTCAAGCCCTCTATTGTCATCCCAATGTCAATCCGTTGTATTGAGGGTCTTCCTGTCTTGTGCTAACCCTCTCCCTTTGCCAGCATGCTTGTTCCAAGGAGGCAAAGTTCACCATCCTCTAAAGAGCATCTGGGTGCACTTGTTTGTTTTTTTGGCAGTCCACGGGCTAGTCGGGACTCTTCTCCAGAAGCAACCCTCAAAGGCATCAGTTCTTCCGTCATCCGCATTCACGGTCTGACTTTCGGATGTGTAGAAAGCAAGTGAATATGCCATGACTTGATCCGGCCCATTAGTCTTAAGCTGACACCCTTGTTCTTCAGCTTGTTACTCTGATGTGCTATCGGGTCGGAACTGACTTGATTCCTGGCCCTCCAGCAGGTTTTCTGAGACAGTAAATTGCACAGAAGAAGAGCCAACTTTTCATGCACAGAGCAGCTGGTGGACTTGAACCAGGTGCCTCTGGGTTGGCAGCACAACTGCTTAGCACTGGGCCACTAGAGCTCCCTGTTCACGGTTTAGGAGGCAAAATCCAGGGCCTGATGGAGGGTGGCTCCTTCTGTGCTGGCCTGGAGGGAGGCTCTCATCTCCCAGTTTCTAGTTTCTGGCTCCTCGGAGGTCTTCATGTGTCTTGGCATCTGTTTTACCATTTCTGCTCACAGGCCTGCTTTTTATGTCTCTAAATAAGAGGTCGACTGAAGACACATCCCCTAAACTAATCTCATCTCATCTCAGCAGTATAACAAAGATGCCCCATTCCCAAGAGAATCATACCCATAGAACTTGTTGTTGTTGCTGTTGGGTGCCATCTGGTCTATTTTAGCGGTATACAATGAAATACACAGCATCCTACCTTTGGCCTTCAAGAATTCCTGTTCCTGATTTTTAAAAATCAACTCCACATCCAAAAATCTCCTCCTCTGAATCATCTAAATCAAACAAGGGTGAGACATTAGGCGTATTCCATCCTGGGGCAAAATTCTTCTTCATCTGAGTCTGTGAAATCCAGAATACAAACCAGCCCATTCTAAAGGACAGCAAAGGCCCTTTCCAGGCACCAGGTAGACCTTTCTACTGCAAACAGGAAGGTTGGGAGGGGAAGGAGGACAGGCCCCAGCAAGCCCCAAGCCAGCAGAACAGACTAGGTCAGCTCTCAAGGCTTGAAGAGAACAGAAGCCTCTCTTCTCTGACACCCTGGGGGCCGCAGTCCTGCCCTCCAGCCTCTGGATTCTGGGTGGAGGTCCCCGTGACCCTGAACTTGTAGGTCCTCTTGGGTGGTGTCAGAGGCTGCGTAAAGGCTGGAGGTTCAAGTTCAGCAAAAAAGACAGGTGACCCACTTCTGGAGTCAGCCTTGGGAAGCCCTGAAGGGGACAGCCTGGCTCTTGGAAAGATTTGAAGCAATGTAAAGTTCAGTTCATATATTTCTCTTAAGTCAGAAAATACATGTGATAATGTTTACAGACGGAGTCTGGAATGAAGATTATAAAGATGCAGCCCATGATCTGAACAGGGTTTCTACATATGTTTGGGAGAGCTTTTCACTATTGCTTTTACATTTCAACCAAAATAACTTTTTAACCAAAATCCAATTTTTTCAAATTTACTCTCAACTTTAGATGGATGGCCTCTATAATGATATACTTCAATCATCCTTTCAAAGTCCTTCTAAATATTTTCTGTATATTTTATATATATTTTTGTACATAAGCATATTTTTTAAATGTATAATTAATTATGAAGATTTTTATAAATGATAATAAAACATGGCAGTATACCTAAAAAAAAAAATAAAATAAAAAGAGGACAGCCTGAAGCTGACACACGTGGCCTGCTGTGAGCAGAAACTGACCAGGAAGCAAGTGGTTTTTAACTTGACCTTCACCTGCAGACTCTTGAGAACAGTAGGCTGCTCCTTCAGGAGCGCTGGCCTCCCTGCTCAGGCCCAGTGAGAGATGGATTCAGACCAGCCTGGGGACAAGCCTGTGAAGCAGACATACATACGAGAACACCTTGCCTTCTCCACAGAAGATCAAACAGACTCCTGCTGGGAAAGGTCCCAGGGCCCCGTCAGGAGCACATACAGCACAGGTAATCATAAACTCAGGTCGGGTGGTCATTCTCTGGAAAGCCGTTATCACAGGTAAGTGTGACCAGCTGCCTGGACAGGCCCTCGTGGATGATGGGAAGAGCATGAATGGTGACCTCGGGAACAGAAGCAGGCCTTCAAACAGCGGACCCCTTGCCTAACTTTGATTGCAGGCCAGGGTACTGAGGCCAGTGCCATGGGCCAGCACTGAGTCACCGTGAATCACGGGGCAGGTGTCCACTCCCCTCAAGTCTGCAACCTGCAGGTGTTCCAGACGCGCTGGGGAGAGTCCCAGCTTTGCGTGGAGGCCTCGGGAGAGGGCAGCCTGGCTGAGATGCTGAGAGGCTCTGCTTAAGGACTGAGAAGGCAGGTAGGCCAAGGTCTCAGCATCGGGACAGTCTTCCCAAAGCCTGGAGTCCTCCCAACAGAGCAAGCTCGTAGGAGAGAGTGGAACGAGCTCTTAGGGTTCCCAAGGCTGTCATCATTAACCACGCTCTGCCAGCACTGGGGTTAAGGCATTCCACTACTAACTGAAGGGTCGATGGTTCAAATCCACCAGCTGCTCAAGACTCACCTCACTGCTGTTGAGCTGGAACCAACTGATAGCGGACCCTCCAGGCTGCGAATTCCATGGGAGGAGACTGCCCATCTCTCTGCCCGGCAACAGCTGGAAGGTGGGTGCCAACTGGCTGTCTTTGAGTTGGACACTCACTCTTTACCCACCAGGCCACCAGAGCTTGCACTGCTCAGAATGAAGGAGGAGGAGGGAGGGCTTCCTGTGGCTTCATCGTCACCCCTTCAAGTCAGAACCAACTCTTAGCCGACTCTCCACTGGTTTCCAAAGCTGTAAATCACACGGAGATTGTCCATTCCCACCCCCCCACCCCCCCAGGGAGATGCGG